ACCCAGTTCCAAGTATGGTATTGCTAAAAGAATTGACTTTTCCTTCTATTCTGCAAGTCAAATAGTAGATAGAAACTGTTGATTTGGGCTACTTTTCATGACAGTTCCCAATTTAGAGTGGTTTCATTTAAAACTATTTTACTTTTGACAACGGTGTAAGACCACAAGTGTTAGGTAGAGGCTGCAGTTCGCACCGGACCTGGGCGCATGTGCCACACAGGCAAGGCGGGGCAGTGTGGGCCGCGGTTCCCAGTCAGTCCCGCGATCACCCGTGGAGGTGTCCGAGCCCGCAGTGCACTGTGTGGCTAAGCGGTAATGTTTGGGAGCTGGTGTGTAAATTCTTCTCCACGTACCATATTTCAGCCTGTGGTAAGTTTTTTGGGTTGTAACTCAACTGTAAACGGAGGAGCATATGTATTTATTTTTTAATTTTTTTGTCCGGTACCAGGGATGGAACTCAGGACCTTGTGCTTTCGAGACAGGCGCGGCACTACTGAGCTAAATCCCCGGCTCCATCTATCTTTATGTTTTAATTATCTTATTTTTTACAAAGAAGTACACAGGGTTCCTATGTATCCTACCCTCCCCTGTGCTGTCTCCTCCACTGTGAAACTCCATTACCAGAAGTGTGCATTTTTTGTAACTGATGAGGTCGCTCTGGAGGCTGTAGTTCTCTGAGTCTAGACAGGTGTATAATGATATGTGCCCTCTACTCACATACAAGTGTCACTGCCCTAAAGCCCCGGTGCTCCACCCTCCCTCCCCTCAGCCCCTGGCAGCCACCGGTCATTTTACCATCTCCAGGTTTCGTCATCGTACAGTTGGATTCATACAGCGTGTGAGTAATCAGTTAGTAAATTGCATTAGGTGACACTCCATTGCTGATGTTCCGGTTTGTCTGTGTCCCCAGCGAAGGACAGCTTGCTTGTTTCCAGCCTCTGTAGCAAATGTGAATAAAGCTGCAGTAAACGTCCGTGTTTAGGTTTTTGTGGAGATCAAGTTTCCAAGTCTCTTAGCACAATTGCTGATCCTGTGTTAAGTACTATATATGTTAAATTTCATAAAAGAAAAAAAACTGCCAAACTCTTCCAAAGCGACGGCACTATTTTGCACTCGCAGCAGCGTCAGAGGGTCCCGTTGCCCACCATCCTCAGCAGCATTTGGTTGTCAGTGACCTAAATTGTGGCCGTGCCAGTAGGTGTGAGGCAGTAGCTTGTTGTAATTTGTGTTTCCCGACTGGCTTCCGGTGTCCAGTGTGTTTGTAACAGTTCTCTATCAGATGTGTTTGGTGGATATTTTCTCCCAGCACGCTTGCTGTCTTCGTTTGTCTTTTTAAGTCGTTTTTGCACATCCTCCCACGCTCCCAAGAAGACTAACAGTTCTTCCTGTGTTGTTTATGCGTCTTCCAGCTCATTCAGACCAACAAGCTGAAGCACTACCCCAGCATCCATGGAGACTTCAGCAACGACTTCCGGCAGCCGTGTGTGGTGTTCACCGGGCACCCTTCGCTCCGGTTTGGGGACGTGGTCCACTTCATGGAGCTGTGGGGAAAATCTAGTCTCAACACTGTCATATTCACGGGTAAATGTACAAAGTAAACTCACCCCTGCCCTGTCCCCTGGGTCCAGCAGTGGCTGCAGCAGGGTGGACCCAGGGAAGGATCTGCCAGAGTGATCGACCTGAGCGAGCATCATTCCTCCGAATGCACCCAGGAGCCACTAGCGAGGGAGGAGGTGAAGCGACTGTGCTGTTAGATAACTTTTTATCTAACACCATTTTGCTCTTCTAGATTTTCCCGAGGTGGAATTGTACTGAACTACTGTTCAGTGGATTTGTTTATAAGACATTGCAAGCACTGCAGTGATTCCAGTACCTGCTCTCTTGCTTTCCCTTTAGGAGTTGTTCTTATCCATGGATCTCTCTCCTTTGTACTTTACTCTGGCTTCTCTGGAGACAAACCCCTCAGGGAAAAAATCCTTTCCTGAGGTCAAGTATGGGATTGACTTAGCTAATTACTGTATTATTTCATCAATTTATGGTCTCCTCACTGACTTGGGTTTTGGAAAACTTGCATGCTAGGAAGTAAAGCAGTTTGATCTGAAATCTGGCCCGGCTTACTATAAATGCAGCCATGCCCCTTCCTGGGCCCCGTTTTTCCTTGCTGTAAGTGGGAGAGCTCCCAGCTGCCACAGCTGCTTTTCTGTCTCTGCCACCTTTAGGTCAAAGGCAGCAGCAGCTGCATCACAAGCCCTGGCTTTACGATGCCTAGGACTTGGCCATGCTGAGTAGGTGGGGTCCAGAGAAGGCTGTGGGCCTGGGCCAGCCTTGGTCTTCCCATTCCCCAGCTGTGACTGACAGGGCAGTGGGTATGGCATTGGCACAGGCACACCCAGAAGTGCTGGATCTGGTACAGATGTTCCTTTAGCCAGCTAAGAAGACATCAAAGGCTGTGTGATCGCGTGTGACAACTCTGAGTAACGAGTTTACATTTAAGGTGGTTCGCCAGGCTTCTAGAGCAGTTGTGTAGTTTCTGATATCCACTAGTGGGATATCTGTGGGCAACCCTTTTCTCTGGCATGATTGCTGTTGTCACATTAAAAAGAGTCAGTATTAACTTCTAGGTGGCCCATTCTTACCTCATTGGGGAGTTCTGGGAATTGTTTGGGAACATGAGCCGCTGGAGGCAGTTAAGTATCTGAACATTCTGAAGCCAGGCGTGGTAGCACATGCCCCATAAACCCAGCAGCCTGGGGGGCTGAGGCAACTTCAAGCCTGGCCTGGGCAGCATTACAATTTAGGGAGACCCTGTCTCAAAAAAGGTGTTAAACCAACAGGGTGTAGGGATGGCCGGGATATAGCTCAATGTGAAGGCCCTGAGCTCAGTCCGCAGCACCACCAAAAAATACAAAAACCAAAAACAGTAGAACTGGTGCCCTGGAGAAGCTAGTGTGCCCATGGGCATAATTCCAGGGCCCATAGTAAGCTGGCCCTTACTGGACACTGCCCAGGCTGCGGGAATCCAGGTGGTGTCTGGAGTCGGGAGCGAGCCAGTCCTTCTGGTTCCTGGCAGTAGCCTCACTGAGGGGAGCGCACGCCCCTGCCTTGCCAGCTGCAGAAGCCGCAGAGAAAAAGCTGGGCCACAGGACAAGGGTGCAAGAGCGGCTACCTGCTGGGAGCAACCCGCAGTTTGTCCCAAAGCTGGTGTCAGCGCTGTGGCAGGCATGGCCTCTGCACTGCGGTCACAGCTGGCTCGGTGCTCTGTACTTAGCGCCTTGTGGGGGACTTGGAGATAGGTACAGATCGTCTCATTCCTTACCTGCATATTTTAGCTTTATTATTTACCTATGATGGTTGTAGTCAGAATCCATTCTTGGTGTGACTCATTTCTTTACACTGACCAGCTGGTATTCTGTTGTAAAGCAGAGCGTTCTCTTCTCTCCCCTCCGGGAGGGAAGCCATGCTTTATAGCGAGCACTCCCAGCCCTGCAGGTTCCCCTGCCCTCCTTCCTACCTTGGGGCCCCAGCCCATACCCCCTGCACCTGCTCCCCACCCCCCAGCAGCTGCTCTCCTGCCTCGCATTAAAATGCCCTTCTTGTGCTCTCCCCAGAACCCGACTTCTCCTACCTGGAAGCGCTGGCTCCCTACCAGCCCTTGGCCATGAAGTGCATATACTGCCCCATCGACACGCGCCTCAACTTCATCCAGGTGTCCAAGCTGCTTAAGGAAGTGCAGGTGACGAAGGACCCTGCCCTGGCTTCGCGCGGTCCTCCCTTTCCCAGACAGCTGCACGGTGCTGAGACAGGTCCTTTGAGGCTCACCCTCCCACTTGAGCGTAATGGTCTTCACGCCCCATTTATTTAGGTCTTCCCAGCCTAAAGAAATCGAAAGTACAGAGAAAGAAGATACAAAGTTACTTTTGATGAGGAGCACTTGTGTCCACCCAAAAGCCAGGTGTCAGGTTCCCCCTCAAAAAAGTCACTCTAGAAATGTACTAAACTGAAAGGCAGTTTTATTGCAACCCATATTGGGCCCGTTACACAAACTTGTTTTGGTTTGTTCATTTGATTCATTTTGCATTTTCTGCCCTGGAGAAAGGGAAGAAGTAGTTGGGGTGAAATGTGAGACAAAAGGACGAATCTTCCCGGAAGGATCACGCACGAGGGAGGCAGGAGTGTAGCCACTGTGCCAGTTGGTCAGTAGGTGTCTGGCAGTTGGGAGTGGAGGGCGGACTGGAATTAGACTTGAAGGAGGTGCGGGGAGAGGAAGGTCTCTGCCTGGCCGTTACCTCGGGACCTCCAGCTTAGAGTGCGGTGGCACAGCCGCTGCCTCTGCACCTGCTCGGCTAGCTCTGTTCATTTCCTGGTGTGGTCAGAAGTTCCCTTTCTGCCTCCTCATGGGATCTGGGGTGTCGGGCAGAGAGACCCCCACCCAGAATGCTCAGGCAGGGGGTGAGAAACCGAAGGCCCTCGGGAAGGTGGGAAGGTGCATCCTGGTGATCACCAGCTTGCTGGCCCTTAGAAGGGGATCTGGGTTTTCTCTAGGCCTTAGATGCCGGCTTTCGGCCTACATGAAGGGATTCGATGCCGACTCTGTGCTCACCCCAGGGAGGGAACAGCTAGGAGCCTGGTGTTTTTCATTACTGAATAACTTCAGATGCCAGGCCCAAGCCGGCATGTGCCGTTACACCTCGGCCATGTGCTCATACTGGAAACAGAAGCCAGCTGGTCGCCACTCTCAGAAGAAACCTGAAAGTCCTGTGCTGAAACAGCTGTGAGATGCTGGAGAAGTGAGGAAGAACAGCACAAGGCGTTTGCAGAAGAAGCCCTGGCTGGAAAGAAAAAGTGCTGTGTGGCATCCACCCAGCTCTGCCTGCCGGAAGTACTTGGTCCAGGGAGTCATGGCTTAGTCCAGACCCTCAACTGAAAGCAGGAGCAGTACAATGGCCTTGTGGGTTTTCAGTCGAGTGGTATTTGTCCAAAATAAATGTTTACTAAGGTTTTTTTCTCTCAAGAAAAAGGAAAGTTTTTTAAGTTCCATATCTGATTTGTTGTTGCACATAGCAGAGTGTGGGATCTGCCAGTTGCCTAAGAAACTCCAAATCAAGGCCTCACAGCACAAAAGTTTCAGTTCCTGCCGGTCTGTGTAATGGCTGAGGGTCAGGGCTACAGGGAGACTGTGCCCTTAGCCTCATGACCAGCTGGAGTAGACATGCACAGATGTCACCTTGAAAGTCACTTAAACAGAGGAGAGAAGTGCTTAAGTGCAAACTGAGACAGTGAGTCCTTTGCGTGGTTTTTCCTGAGAGGTGCATCCTGCTTTCCCTGCATGGTGCTCGTCTCTGTCACTGGTCAGTTGGGTTTGAAGGGATGAGAGCTCCCCAGGGTCTGCAAGTACCTGACATGCAGGAAGCGGGACCAGGAGGAGGAGCAGGGCGCTCTGGTCCCTGCTGCCCCTGACCCTGCTCCATTGGTCCTCAGCCCCTGCACGTGGTCTGTCCCGAGCAGTACACCCAGCCACCCCCAGCCCAGTCGCACAGGATGGACCTCATGATCGACTGCCAGCCGCCACCCATGTCCTACCGGCGGGCGGAGGTCCTGGCCCTGCCCTTCAAGCGCCGGTACGAGAAGATCGAAATCATGCCTGAGGTGAGTGACCCTTTGTCATCCTCAAACTCATATGTACCCGCTTGAGTCAAATGGTCCCTGAGTTGTCTTCCTTTGGGGTTTGTCAAATGTGAGTGAGTTGGAGAACAGACTCCTAAGTACCTGGGTAAAGAGGTGGGGGGCGAGGCCTCTCGTTTTCAAGGCAAGTGTGATCCTGCAGCCCATAGCAGGCTGGAGCCAGGGCGTGGAGAGGCCAGGGCTGGCACAGGCCTTGGCCACCTTACTCTGTGCTTCCCAGCCTTCTGGACCTCATTTATGACCGAGGGATGAGTGTCACTGCCATGCAGAGATGGGGAAGATGAGAGGAATGTAATTGTATTGTTTTATGCCTTTCAGCACGACTTCATGGTTTAGGCCTGTTATAGTCTATAAATATTTGTAGTTCTCTGAAATCCTAACTTCTGTTCAGTTCATTTTTGTTTTAGCTTTTTCTTATAGTATTGGGGAATTGAACCCAGAGCCTCATACATGCTAGGGGAGCACTTTACCACCGAGCTACACCTCCAGCCCTTTTTACTTCAATTTTGAGATAGGGTCCCACTAAATTGTCCAAGCTGGCTTCAAACTTGGGATCCTTCTGCCTCAGCCTCCCGTGTAGTTGGGATTACCGACATGCAGCACCAGGCTCCTAGCCTATGTTTTAACAGGGAAGAAGAAAAGGCATACTGTAAAAGTGGGACATTCGGGGCAGGTTGTGCTTAAGTGACTCATCCATGACGAAGGCAGAAAGAATGGAGAGTAGGCTCTGAGGTGACCGTGCAGGCCACTCCTAGCTTCCTTTTCCGCTTTAAGACAGCGTGGACGTACTTTAACAGGTGGCTGGAAGAAACAATAAAACTCGCTGTTAAGCCAGCGTGCCCAGCATTCTTTCTGGGCTTGGGTTTAGGAACAGTGTCCAGACCTGGGATCTGAGCTCCTAGCTCCTGACATTGCTCCCTCCGGCCCCAGCAAGACTGGCACAGAGCCACTTTCCATATGTGGATTCCTTTCCAGAACTAAGCAGAAAGGCGGTTTCCTTAAGAACAACAGATAAGGCAGATTCAAAAAACTTCAATAATTAAATAGGATGAGTGATGCAGCAGTGCAAAACTAACTAGCGTTCAAATGCAAGCAGCGCCGTTTCTGTTAAGCAGATGAGTATTACACTGTGTGGCTGCGATTACCGCGTGCGCCACCACCGTGCCCAGCTCGAAAGATTTTTTAAGGAGCAGAGGAGTCAAAAACATGGTAAGCAGTGAACTGCTGGAAAGCTAGAGATAGCTTCTCAAGCCACTACTTTGAAGGTCCTTTGGATGTTTGCAGTCTAATAATTCTGTAAAGGAAAAAATGAATTTTCAGTTGGAACTTGTGATTTCAGCACCTTAGTCTTCTCTAATTAACTGGCTACGCAATTTGTAATTACAGCTTATTTGGGAGGGAGGAGGCCGGGGTGACTAGCTCAGTCCCCCTGCCACTCTCTGGGAACCAGTCTTCCTAGAACTAAGTAACCAGCGAGCCCTCCTGCAGTGCATCCGAGGCCCTTTTGGAACAGTGGTCCTCCCGAGACTTCACCCGCAGCTCTGCACTGCGGCTCTTGCCTTAGATCCCCAGTTGCCCTGTTCACCCGGCAGTATTAACAACACTGCCTAGATTGGAATGGTTTTATCTCAGTACGTTGGCATTGATAATGCTTTTTTTTAAATGAAGGGTAGAGAAAAGCAGATTTCCTCTTCCAAAAAGGGAGTTTTCATTTTGTTTTTAGCACAGAAGTTTAAGCATACCCACTTCTAATTTTATGGTGTTTTTTTGTTTTTTTTCTGATTTTGCTTTTTCATTTTCTCATTTTGTTCATCTTACAGTGAAAGACACTGGCATGGTGTCTTTGGATTATTATTCTTTATTACGTGTTTGTAGTACATACAGTTTACAGTCATCTGAGGAGTGGGTACATGATACCGCTTGTTTCTTTTTTCATCTCTTTCCTTTGCCCTCCCATTAACCATGTGAGTCTAGGAATCTTTCCATTTCTTCAAAATTTTCCAGTTTGTCAGAATAGTTTTCAAAGAAGTTATTGACCAGCTTCTAGATTTTGAGTCTGTTTTGATTTTGCCTTTTCCATTTCTAATTGCATTGATGTGAGTCTTTTCTGTCTTTTTTGGTAAGTCTAAGGGCTTTATCTATTTTGTTTATTGTTTCAAAGAACCAACACTTTGGTTTGTTGATTTTTTTTTTTTCTTGATTTCAGGGATTTCCACTGTAATCTTTCTAATTTCCCTCTTTAATTTTGCTCTGGGCCTGGCTTGTTTCTCACGTATCTCAAGATTGTTCATACTTATTTACTTGCGCTCACTGTGTTTTCCTGATGTGAGCATGGATTGCGATGCACCTTTACTCTCAGGACTGCTTTTACAGTATTCCAGAGGTTTCATTGAGTTGTAAAGGCACCATCATTAACTTTCAGAATTTTGTTTTTCCTTGATTTTTTCTGGGACCTGTTGGTTGTTTAGGAGTATGTTGTTAATTTTCCAGGTGCTTCTATCTTTTTCCATAATTTCTTCTGTCACTGATTTCCATCTTCATTGTTCAGTGATCTGATAGTACACATGGGTAATTTTGATTCTTTTTATTTAAGCATGTTTTGTAGACTACTGTGCAATCTATTTTGGAAAAAGTACTGTGTGCAAAGTAGAATGTATACTCCATTGGAGTGGAATACTCTGTAGGTATCTCTTAAGTCCATATGGTTAAGGGTGTGATTCAGCTCTGATATTTCTTTTGATTTTTGATTTAGTTGGTCTCTCTCTGCAAGTGTTAAGGTCTTTATGACTATTAGTAATTGTTTGAGCTTTTATGTTCAACAGTATTTGTTTTATGAAGCTAGGTACATATTCAGTGTATGCACTGAATTCAATCGTATGCACTGTTTTTGTTACATAAATTTATAAAAATGTTCTTACTGGATTATTCCATTAACTAATATGTGGTAGCCTTTGTCTCTTCTAAGTTGTCATTTCTAGTTGGAGAGTTACCATTTCTGGAAATTGCTACCCCCTACTTGTTTTCAGGGTCCTGGTGCATGAAATATTATTTTCCATCCTTTAATTTTTAGTCGATAAGTATCTTTGGATTGGATGAATTTCTTGAATATAAGACTGCTGGGTTCTGTTTTTTATCCAGTCCACTAATCTGTGTCTTTTAGTGGGAGAGTAGAGGCCATTCATGTTGAGAGGTATTACTGAGATCTGTCAATTATTTACTATCATATTGCATTCTTTCTCTGTTGGTGACCCCTTCATTTTTCTTTTCCTGTTTTTGTTGTTTATCCATTGACCTCATGTGGTGTTTTCTTTTCATCTGGGTTTGTAGTTATATTAGTTTCACTGTTACTGTGTAGTATTTTCTGGAGTGCTGGTTTCATAGTCATAAATCTCTTGACTGGTCTTTTTAATGAAATGTCCTTATTTCTCTACCCATTTTGAAAGCAAATTTTGCTGGGTAGGGTGATCTAGGCTGTAAGTTATTTGCTCGTAGGACCTGATAGGCAGTTATTCCTCCCCTAACGGCAATCAAATGACATGCCTTTCACTAGGTCGAGCAACTGTTCACTAAATGAGGAACTGTACACTGTATGTACATTACAATTTCAGAACAAAGACATGGTCAAAGAAAACCCCAATCTGATGACTTTGCTTTAATTTGTATAACTCTTACATGTCGTAATATAAAGTGTAACAGAACATGAAACTACAGTACTGTACTGAATGGTATAATCAGCAAAAATTATACTACTGTATAAATAAGGTATACTGTACAAAGAAAGGCACTGCAGCTCTATAAACAAGATGTACAGAACTATACAAAAAAGAAAAAGCTGGTAAGTCTGAGCAGCGGGTCATGAATCCAAACAGTCATGGAACATGTAGGTCATTAAAGAGTGTCTGTACATCACTCTGAGCTCTCCTTGTCTTTGAAGGTTTGTTGAGAAATCTGCTGTGATTCTAATGGGTTTACCTTTACATGTGATTTTTTGTTGTTGATTTTTCTCTGACTGCTTTTAAAATTGGAGTTTCTAATTGGCTATCTGGCAGTTTAATAAGGATATATCTTGGTGAGCTTCTTTTGTCTTCATAGTTGTTTGGTGTTCCAGTGCCTCACTTCCTTGTATGTTGAACTCTTCTCATATTTGGGAAGTTTTCTCCTACAATTTTTGTAAATATATTAGTAATCCCACCTGTGTTCTAGCTTTTCTCTAACTCCAGTCAGCCTTAGGTTGGTTGTCTGTGTTGTCTCGTAGCTGCTGGATGGCTGTCAGCTCTGTTGCCTAAAGCTGAGGAGACCCAAGGAACAGGCCCTAGTGTCATTCACCTAGCTGGGACTCATCCGGTCGGTCCGGGATTCCTCCCGAGCTGGGCTCATGGCGTGGCCCCAGAGGGCAGCCAGGGCAGGAGCAGCCTTCTGGCCGGCCCCAGGCTTTCTCCCTGTGCACACAGTGCAGACCTTTTTGGATTATTTTGGTCTAGTAGTTGACAGTGGCTGGAATTAAAAGCCTGGTTTTATATTTCAACACTATAGGCCAGCAGTCCTCAAAGTTGTTGATCTCAAGCATCTTTAAAAATTAGGACACCTAGGAGCTTTTTGTGGGTTTTATTTATTGATATTTGCTATATTACAAATGTAAACTAAAATGTTTTAAAAACATTAATTCATTTTAAAATAACATTGCAAACCTCTTGTATGCTAACATAAGGAAAAGATAAAGACAAAAGCAAAATTCAGTCTTAGAACACTAGAGATAACTACTGTAGTTAGGTTTTATGTATTTCCTGGTCCCACCGTTCATGTGTGTTTGGTGTCTATACTGAAATCGTGCCTGGTAGACTTTTTCACCCAACTCCAAGTATGCTATATCCTTAAAAATATTTCAAGGATTAGAAATGTAGCTCAGTGGTAGAGCATGAGGCCTGGAGTTTAATCCCTAACACCAAAAAAAGAAAATTCAAGTTTCTGTTTTAATGGCTGCATAAGTCTATCAAAAAGCAAATTGTAATTTTAACTGTTAATTTGCTGGTGGACATTTATTATTTCTCCTAACACTTTTAGGAGTACCCTTTTATTTAAATCGAGTTTTTGTTTTTCCATAGGCAGATTTTCTGAGTTTGGCATTTCTGGCTTAAAGCTTAAGAATGAGTTTTTATAGCTCCACGTTACAAGTGGAAGCCTTTCTGCCAGGCTTAAAACCCTGCTGCACTCCTTGGGTTCTTGTGTTATACCCTTCTGTTTCACCCTCAGGAAAAGCCTGGGAGTCAGAGGGAGGGGTCCCCAAAAGGACCTTGGACACCAAGTTGAAAAGGAAAGCACAACTGTAGGGGTCAGAAAGAACAGGATTGTTCTCACAGTGCGGGCAGGGCTGGCCCCTCCCGGCCGAGCCTCAGGCCCAGGCCCTCAGTGCCCTGTGCTCTGTGCTCTGGTTGTGCTCCAGCTGCAGAGTTCGTGGCTTGCTTTCCAGATCTGTTTTGGGATGTGAACAGGCAGATCAGTAAGCAGTTCCCACAGCTGCTGTATTTGTTAGTAACGTCAGCTGCCAGGCAGCAGGCTGAAACCCAGCCCACAGCTCTGTCCCCTCAGGCCCCTAGGTTGTACTCATTATTTTCTTCAGGTTCCAGTACTTGGGAGCATACAGGCTCTTAAAAGTACGGTGGAAAATAGAACCAAAAGTAGCATTTAAACACATGCCTGGGAAATGCCTGGGTGAGATGAAATGGTTCAATTCTAACGCTGCTTTTCATTTTGCCACTACTAAAGGGTGTTTGTCTTCTCCCAAGTGAGGGAGTAGGCTGAAGCTCCTTTATGGGTCCTCTGTCAGGTCTGTTCAAGGCAGTACCTGGGATGGTACTTACGGGGATCATTTGTGGACACTGTCTCTCCCCGAGGTGCTGAGCTGCAGTTACTGTACACCCCAGGCTGACTTCTGCTGCGACAGAGCTGCCGCCCCATCCCCCATGATCAGCTGCACCTGGAGTCTCCCTGGAACTTGGTCACAGCGGCCCAGGGAAAGCCTCTCCATGCCAGGGGAAGCTTCCATGCCAGCCCCAAACCTCCCCAGCCAGCCTGAGCTGGGCAGAGCAGAACTGTGTGCAGAGAGCAGTTTTGAGAGTGGCAAAGGTGAAGGAGCGCTCCCGTTTAACCCGTGTTTCACTCACGGAACAGCCCTCGTGTATCCAATTCCCAGTCTGCCTACACAGTGTGTGCCGCGTCCTCTGCCCGCCTGACACTGGTCGTCCTACGGTGCCACCATGCACATCTGTGCTGTTAAGTGAAGTCTGATGTCTGGGAGGCCCAGGACGGCTCACAGCTAAAACCTAGCACCCTAGCAGTGTCACTAGGAGGAGAATTGCTCACGCTGCTGTCCTTGTCCTCATCTGACACTAGGCACGGGTGGGGGGAGGGGAGGAGCCCGTGCAGCCTGGCGGACTCAGGGCTGGCTGGGGCCTGGGCCCAGGCCTTCTTCACATGGAGCCGCCTCCTGGCCCTTTTTCATCTGGAGACGGGACGCCTCACAGCCTCTAACCTGGGTTTGAGAGGCTCAGTGAGAATCTTAGGAGGTTGGAGGTCTTGGACTGTGCATGCAGGAAAGGTGCTGGCACTGTCTTACCTGTGGCATGGAGACAGGAGGGGTCAGCACAGTGAGTGTGGCTGCCCTGAATAAGCCCTGCTGCCGGCCCTGGGCAAAAGCCGCCAAGCAAAGGCCCAAAGGCTCCACATCACTAGAAGGCTCAGGGCTGTGGGTTGTCCTCTCCCTCTTCCCAGGCCTGTCCATCCACACCCTCATCTCTTCTGTCTTCTCTCCCCTTTGTTATTGATACGGTTGATGGGTTTTTATTCTTTAAAAAAAACTGTATAGTTTTTTGCATTCTTTCTGCCTTAGGCTGTTTGGCCATTTTGACTGCACTGCTCTGATTACATTTGAAGGTCTATCCTGGTGGTCAGTTAGAGGCCCGGCCTCCCACACGTCCCACATTCCCTCCAAACAGGCCGCGCAGGATGCCGGGAACATGTGGTACACTGGCATCACCATCCACCCGGGGCTCTTGAGGGAGGGTGGGGCTGAGGCCCCGTGGCCCCTCCTCCCACTGAGGGAGCCCACCTGAAACTGCATTTGCTTTCAGCTTGCTGACTCCCTGGTGCCCATGGAGATCAAGCCCGGCATCTCCTTGGCAACTGTCTCAGCCGTACTGCACACGAAAGACAACAAGCACATGCTTCAGGTAGGGGCGGCAAGGGGTGGGACACAGCGGGACCCCTGCCCTCAGGAAGGCCCACTGCCCAGACATCACTGCGTAACGCCTCTCTAAAACAGCGCATTTCCTCAAAATTCCCTGGCCACACGGCTCAGAGAAGGAAGGGAAGAGAGACGTGATACTGGGCTGAAGCCGCATCGTCCTAAGCTTGCTTCCCAGGGCACATTCCTCACACAAGCGCCTGTCAGGCACCCCCGCCAAACACTGCAGGGAGAGCAGGGTGCCGTGAAAAAACCAGAACAGTAGCCAACACCCTAGCCTTCCCTAAGGGGCCTGGAAATACACTGCATAAAACGGGAGGCCTGGGGCCTTGACCCCCGCCAAACTGCAGGGAGAGCAGGGTGCCGTGAAAAAACCAGAACAGTAGCCAACACCCTAGCCTTCCCTAAGGGGCCTGGAAATACACTGCATAAAACGGGAGGCCTGGGGCCTTGGACACAGGACAGACTGACCCCCACTCGTCTGGTGAATTCCTCGGTGACCTGTGTAACTAACGTGTTATCGCGTGCACGGTTCCAGTGACCCCTCACAGAATTCCCACTCAGTTCTCCTGTCGAGCAGTTCCTCTGGCCTCTTTCCTGATGGAAGGCTGGAAAGCTAGGACTTCACACATATCAGACCCGACAGCCGCTGTTCTTGGCTGTTGCCAGCAGTTTACTACGAGAAATGTACCTGCAAATTGCTGTGCTGAATTGGACTGATGGAAAATTGATGAGACCTTGATTAAAAAACAGATCTTAGGCAAATAAGGTGGGAGCCGCGTGGACAGTTTTGCATCGCTGGACTCAGGTGCCCACTGCTTTTCACACGAGGGTGACTCCAGGCTGTCTGGGGCCCCTCAGCAGAGGCTCCTCAGGGCAGGGCAGGTCACTTGGGTTCTCCGCACTTTCTGGAAGCTTTTTTTTTTTGGTACGGGGAATGGAACTCGGGACCTTGCGCTTGCGCAGCAGGCAGCGGAACCACTGAGCCAAATCCCGGGTCTGTGAAGCTCATGGTGAGACCCTGCTTCCGCTCTGCCCCAGCCCCCTCCTAGGCCGGTGCAGCCTGCAAGTGGTAAGAAGAGAAAGCGCGTGAGCGACGATGTTCCTGACTGCAAAGTGCTGAAGCCTCTGCTGAGCGGCTCCATCCCCGTGGAGCATTTCGTGCAGACCCTGGAGAAGGTGAGCAATGGCCTTGCACGGCTGCCGTGGGAGGGGCCTTCTGTCTGCTGCTCCTGCTTGTCGCTGGGGCCCACTGTTCTCCGTGGTAGGTGCCTCTCCCACCCTCCTTCCTGTGGAGTGGACTGAGGAGAAAGCCCTTCCTCAGGAAACCGGCTGACAGGTGGCACGGGGACCGGTCAGGGAAAAGGACCGTCCTGCCAGAGCCGCACTTGTCCACAGGAAGCTGCTGGCTGCCCGAGGAGATCAGGGCTCAGGTTAAGTGTGGATGTAGGCGGTCCTTGGGAATCTGGCACAGTTCGCAGACAGGTCAGAGGCGGGAGAAGAGGCAGCCATGTGAGAGGACAGTGGGCCCCTCTGTCTCACCATCCATCTACCCTGCTCCCCAATGGCCATCTTCTCCCAAGAAGCAGGTTTCTTGTCTACAACGAACACATCCTTGTTGGCTTAAACCACCAGTGGTACATACGGATCTAATCACTTTTGTCAGTCCCAATGGGACAGTCATGTGTGTACCGCAGGTAGGTCAAGCCACCAGCAGCGAGACCTATGAATCACCACCTCATCAGGAACATGTTAAAAGGGAAAACTCAACCTTCAAGGTTTTGGAGTTTGTGCTTCATCATGGGCCTTCAAAATGAGGATGCGTCTTTCCTAGGGAGGAAAGGAACTGCTGCAGACCGCCGTCCACACAGGACCACAACCTGGTCCCAGACAGGTAGTTAATAAGATGGCCCATGTCCCAATTAAATATCTCAACTGCCAGCTTCTTTGAGTCTCACAGGCTTCCACTTTGCAGGCTTGGTTTTCTCCATTTGTCTTCTGACTTTCCCAGGCAGCTGTCCAGGATCCAGCCCCCATGTCCTGTGGACAATCAGGTTGGCCCTGCCCTCCCAGGGACCTTACAGGGCTCCTGGTGTTGGGTGTCAGGCTTCGCTTTCTAGGAAGACCTCATTTAGCTCTCCTATGGACTCACCCAGCAACGGCCGGGGTCCTGGTGCTGAATTACACCCCTGCCTCGTCGGCCTCAGCTCCTTCCTTCGCACGCACCGCAGCCACTCTGACCCCGTCATTCCTCTTCACCTGTTCTGTGTCCCTTCCAGGCAAATCTGCCCCCTTTTTACTTCTTTTCTTCAAGTGTTCATCTCATTTGTAGACTAGGGCTGGGCACCTGGGCCGAGGCCAGGAACAGGCTAGCAACAGGATAGCAACCCAGACTCCTGCACACAGGCACCAGCCGTGCCTCGGCTGTTTGCGGACGTTCTGCCCCATCTACATGAGCATCTGCGAGGCTGGGGCCTCCTGCAAAGCCTGCCTGCGTGTGCTCAGGTCGTTTAATAGCTGTGTCCCTGAAGAAATGTACTGAGGGACGTCGAACATTCCGGTTCCTAGAAGGTCCTGTGGCGCCCAGGAAGTATACTGTTAGATCTCTCAGTTCCACAGTATCAGTCAGCCCTTGCACTTCACGGTGGTCACCCTCCTCCTTTTTCTCTCTCTCGGAGCAGCATGGCTTCAGTGATATCAAGGTGGAAGACACAGCCAAGGGCCATATTGTCCTGCTGCAGGAAGCGGAAACGCTTATCCAGATCGAAGAAGATTCAACCCACATCATCTGTGACAATGACGAGATGCTGAGGGTTCGACTGCGGGACCTTGTCCTCAAATTCTTACAGAAGTTCTGAAGGAGACACGGAGCCATTTCCTCTCCCTGAAATTCACTGTGGCTCCCCCCTAAGGAAGGGTGTGATGGTATCCTCTGGCATCAAGAAAACAGCTGGCTCTGAGGGGAAATAATCCGGAGCTCCAGCCAGGATCTGCTGCCTGGCTTCTTGCAGTTTTCCAGGAAAAAACTTTAAGCTTCAGAGTCCTCCTGTCCTTTCCAACTCTGGCACTCTGAATAGCTAAAGGTGACATAAGCGTGACTGAACCCTTTTCTAAGAGGCTAACGGTGGACAGGGAAGTAGAAATGATGACCAGCTTGTGTGATGCAGGCCTGTGTTTGGCTTTCATGGTGCACAGGCCTCTCCTCAGGAACAAGTCTGTTTATCTGCAGAGTGCTGCACCTACAACGAGAGGGACCATGAAATCAGGTCTTTTGTACCTGTGTCCTGTTCTTCATAAAACTTACTTTTATAGCAGTGTGCGTGCACTATCTAACCGAAAACCTAAATACCTGAAAAAAGAATAAAAATATATAGAACATAAACTTAGAAAATACCACAGCAGAGGGCTGGGGATTTAGCTCACTGTTCTGCCGCCTGTCTTAAGCACAAGGTGTCCCGAGTTCAATCCCTGTACCAACAAAAAAAAAAAAGAGAGAAAAAAAATACCACAGCAGATGTGTTTGATGTGTGCATTAAATTATAGAACCTGGCATGTACAAAAATACAAAGAGATTTCTTCTTGATTTAAGTTCTGTCTGCATAAAACAGACTGACGGACACTGACAGCTGTGACTTCTGGGGGCGGCCCTCACGAGGCAGTCGTGCATTGTGTAACCATGACAGGGTCTCAGGGTCCGGCAGTGGTCTCCTGAGATTTTACCGCCTGGGGACACTGGCACCTGCTCTGTGGGGAGTGTGCCCTGCCACGTTCGGTGACAGACTTGCCCAAGAAGGCACTTCTCCCAGCGTGTCCCTTTTGGTGGCAGCACATGACTGCGGCCAGGTCTGCTAGCTGAGCCCGCCCATCGCTGCCTTTCCCGCAGAGCCTCACGTGCTCCCTCAGATGCCCACACACACAAGGAATGGTGAGGTTTCAGAGAAAAGTAACCTCCCACCAAAGCTGACTGTGCAAGCCTGTGATCCCAGCACTCTGGGCAGCTGAGGTACAAGGATGTCAAGTTTGAGCCCAGCCTGGGCAACTCAGCAAGACTCAAAAAGGAGGGGTCGGGCCTGCAGCCCAGTGCATAGGCCCTGGGTTCAATCCCCAGTCTGCACCCCACCTCGAAAAAGAAGAGTACTGCACTTGAAATAATGCTGTCTGAGCTGTTTAAACCTTATCTGCCCAACCACATCCACCGTAAGATAGCATCAGACTAGGTGAGTTCTGGTGGTAGGTACAGCTTCCCATAATCTCAGATCAACTGAGGAAGTCACCTTCCAACTCAGCGACATCTGAGCTTCACAGAGAAATTCACGGGCGCAGGAATGCTATAGAAGTAACTGCTCAGGTTTTCAGGGAGCTGATTGTCGGCTCTCCTGGAATGCTAGTATTGCTGGGAACAAGGACTTCATTACAGGAGGAACAAGACAAGTTCTTTTTCCCTGTCTCTAGCTTGGCCAATCCTGGCCACAGGAAGGCTTGAGCAGGTTTCCATTTTCCAGGGTACGGGGCTGTGTTAAGAACAAATTGGGGTGCTACCAGCGTGGGACAGTCTCTCAACAAGAGACTGATGTGCACGTATGAAAATTTACTTTTGTTTGTAGAACTGCAAATACTGTTATCACATTGTAGGCATCCTTTCTAATGAAACTTTTGAAAGGTCAAGTTAAATTTTAAAAGCATCTTGAAAAATGTAGACGCATGTAAGATAAAGCTCAAAAGAAACCCAGTTACTTAAATGTCCTAGCATTGCTGTGTCCAGAAATGTCATGGCATTTGTCAGAGAGTCACCTTCTGTGAAGAGGCTGGATCCGTGCCCCAGCCTTGATCCCACGAGGGCAGTTACTAAGGGACAGGCAGGTGAAGGCCAGGAGTATCAGCAGCAAGCCTGGGCAGGGAACAACTGGAAATTAGGGAGGCTTTCACCAAGTCACCACCACCACCCAGAGGCAGAAGCACAGAACCATCCTTCAGGACAGAAAATCTAGAGCTGGCTGGCCACGTTCCGAGAGACAGCAGCTAGGACTAGGTCCACCTCGAGCTTAGGTGTTGTTGGTCAGTAGATGCACGGAGATGGCAAAGCTGCCCTGAGTGCTGGAATCTGACCACTGACTGCGGCCAGTCTGTAACTAGAGATGCAGCCCGACTGGACGTACCTGGTAAAGGCTGACATCCAGAGAAGTTTCAACCTAAGCAGAGTGGAGTAGTGATTAGTGATACCTGGGAAATGTTTCAAAAGAGTAGAGACACCTAATTTTGTATTCAGCTATCTACTGCTACAGTAACAACCCCAGAAATCTTACTTAAAGCCACAAACCTCTCCACCTCACTTTCCATGGCCAGCACCGTGTGGCTTGGCGCAAGTGTCACACAGCTGCTGTTGGGTGTCTGGTGAGGAGGCCGAGATGCAGTCCGGTGAGGGAGCTGCTGCTTGCCTTCCTGACACCCTGGTGGTCGTCCTGTAAAAGGCACTGGTGACCCCAAGCTGCAGTGAGTCGAGGGTGTGGTAAGATGTGCCCAGAAGGCTGGTGGGGAGTATGGCGACACCTTTTCCTCTTCCCTGTGCCACAAGGGGCAGTGCACAGTGGGCAACCCACTGCTTTACTCACCTGTGGGAAGGTAGACAACATCTGTTTCCAGCCCGGCAGGGCCCCGTACACAAGCATCACTCTGCTCTGAGGGGAAAACAAGCAACTGATTCTGGAGGAAGTCGCAGCTAAATCCTAGAGCAGAACTGTGCCAGAGACGCCTCATCTTGCTGCAGGCTTGAACCAGTACTGATCATGTTTATTTCCTGAAGTTCCGTCTCCACTGCCCCCTGGTAGCGCACTGTGGTTTTAGTCACCCCACAAGAGTACTACTTAAGGATTTGGGTCGCAAGACCACAGGTCTTCGAAAAGTGTTCTACTCACATCCTGTCATTAGGCGTGTGAAATTTCTCTCACTTTGGGCATGGGGAGCCACTGAAACAAATGGAGATGTAATGGTTCTTGTGCTGGCAGCATCTCACTCTGCTTTTCCCTGCAGAGACCACAGTAACGATTCCTAGCCATTTCTAAGTATTCCTGATGTACAACAAAATCCATCACAAATAAGAACATCTTGAAAAAATACACAATAAATTCCATGATCACCTAAGTTTGCTAACATTTTTTTAGGTTATCCACTGTTAATTTTTAATCTAGTTACTGATTACAGTGCTTACCCACTTTAAAAATAATGAGCTCTGCCAGGCATGGTGGTGCACGCCTATAATCCCAGCATGCAGGAGGCTGAGGCAGGAGGATCGCTCAAGTTCAAGGCCAGCCTGGGCTACATAGCCAGTCTGAACTACATAGCAAGACCCTGTGTCAAAAAGCCAAACAAGCGGGTCAGGGATTTAGCTCATTGGTTCTGCCACCTGCCTCACAAGCCCAAGGTCCCAAGTTCGATCACCAGTATCAAAAAAAAAATTTTAAATGTTCTGTTCAGCAGAAGATAACCATAGGCTGGGCGTGGTGGCGCATGCCTGTAATCCCAGCACTCGGGAGGCTGAAGCAGGAGGATCATTGTGAGTTCAAGACCAGCCTGGACTATGTGAGTTCCAGGTCAGTCTCAACTACAGTGAGACCCTGTCTCAAAAAACCAAAAAAAAAGGAGATAACCATAGAAGGGCCGGGGATTTGGCTTAGTGGTTCCGCTGCCCACCTTGCAAGTGTAAGGGTCTGAGTTCAATCCCGGTACCAAAAAGAAAAAAGATAGCATAGAATGGTGGTGAATATATGGCTCGCATGCTGTAGCTGGCACGAGGAGCCCCTGTCAGCACGCAGACCGAGTCACCTCAGCAGCCAAGCATCAGCCAACAGTTGTTTTTGTTAAACTAACACCCCAGTATTTGCAGTGTGAGCAATTAAGTGAGCAGTTAGCAATTAAGTGGGTTCGGGGTTGCAGTTTGGGCACCCAGTCTCTAAAAGGTTCGCTGTCACTGCCGCAGAAACGGATAGGAAAGCTACAAATTGAGGAAAATACTCTGTTGTACAAGACATACCTGACCGCGGACTGGCACCCGAGGTAAAGAATACCTGAAACCCAGCAATGAAAAGACAAATACAGGGCCAGGGATTTAGCTCAATGGCACTGTGCCTGCGTCACAAGCACAAGGGTCCTGAGTTCGATCCCTGGTACCACAAAAAAAGAAATACATCCATACTGTGGAAGTTATTCAGTTACTAAAAATAAGAAATGGAGCATCAAAGCATAGGAAGACATGGGGAACCTTAACCGTGTATTACTATGTGAAAGCCGATCTGAAAGGCTGCCGCTGATTCCAACTGCATGACACCCTAGAAAAGGCAGAAGTGGGAGGATCAACCATGAAGCACGGGGTTCTCGGGACAGTGAAACGGTTCTGTATGAAACAGTCACTGTAGACAGGCATCATTGTACCTCTGTCCAAAGCCACAGCACACACCAAAGAACGAACCTTAGTGGAAACTATGGACCTCAGTTAATGGATCCATTGTGACAAAATGTATCACTGAAGGCATTAATAAGGGGAACAGGAAGTAGAATGAGGACAGTCTGTACTTTTCATTCAATTTTTCTATAAACCTAAAACTGCTCAAAAAAAAACAAAAAAGTGGGCATATGCTTGTAATCCCAGCACTCTGGGAGCTGAGGCAGGTGAGTCCGTCAAAAGTTCAAGCCCACCCTGGGCAACTTAGACTTTGTCTCAAAACATAAAAACAAAGGGCTTGGGAGATAATTCCATACAAAGACCCTGGATTCAATTCCTGGTACCAAAAAAAAAATTCTACAAAAATATAAGGGAAAAAAGCAGTACTAGAAAGACAACGCATTTTTTTTTTTAATGGGCAAAAGATTTTGTTAAGATACTTGACCAAGGAAATAGACATCAATGGTATAAACACATTCAAATATGCTCAGCATCATCAGTCACTGAGGAAATACAAACTGAAAGTACAAGTTACCACTCACTCACCAGCATGGAGGACCGACGCCACACACTGTGAAGACCGAACCGGACAGTCCTGATTACTGCTGGAAGCAGAGCCCAACAATCACTGGAGCAAGGGTCAAACTAAACGTGTAAATCTACTGTATCCCCCACCGCTCCGCCCACTCAGGTCAGAGGTGTATGAGAAAGAGACACAAATCCACTGAGGATTCGTAGTAGCTCTATTCATAGCGGCCCAAAGCCAGAATCAGCCCCAGTGCCTGTCAGGTGGATGGCCACACTACTACATTCAGGACCAGGGATTTAGCTCAGTGGTTCCACCTCTCAAGCACAAGGTCCCGAGTTCTATCCCTGGTACCAAAAAACAAACAAACAAAAACAATACATTCATTCAAGGGAACGCTGCTCAACAGAAAAAGGAAGAAGTTACGGTGTGCACAGCAATACCGGTGGATCACAACACTGTTTCTAGCAGCTTTTCCTTTTCAACACCATTCATATAAAATTCTAGGATCTCCAGGGTGCAGGAGGTGGGGACTGGCTGGAAAGCAGCATTCTGCGTCAGCAGTGGTGCCCTGCATCTTGACAGTTCCTTGGGTTACCTGGGATCTCATCGGATTTTGAGAATACATGTTTAAGATTTATGCATTTCACTTTGTACATTTTTCATTAAAACATAGAAATAAATATTGACCTCTAGGTTGATGTATATTCTTATGTATTTGGAAGAAAGTGTATCAATGTCACTACTTCCTCAGACATGAAACAAAAATGGGGAGAAAAAGGGTGAGCAGGGGTGGAGAGATCACTGGCTGTGAGGTAAGTGCATACAGTTAAAAGTACTTGAGTACAGTTTATCACAGAAACCTTCCAACTCTGCTATATGCCTAAAAGTTTCAATAATAAAATGTTGGCAGCAGTTTAAATACATAGAATTTAAAGAGCTGAAGTGCTAAAATGACACCCTACAGTATGACTAGTATTCTGGTTTCATAGACGATGAAGACAAATGGATAAAGGTAAAAGTTTGCCTAAAACAGGTCAGAAACCAGATCAAATGAAGCGCCACATGGAGCCTGGCCCTGGTAGGCTTCCTACCCTTCCTGAGCGTCTCCATGCCTGTATCTAGGCAAACCTGCGTAGAGCTCTGCACGACAGGTGGACAGGAGCGGTCCCCACCGACCTGGTCACACCAGTTAGTGGGCACCACAGGTACCTCAGGACCCGTCACTGCCCAGCCTGCTGCCAGCTGTGATTTCAAAGGAGCCTCTCCAGTTCACCAAAGCACCGATCAGACGACGGCCAAGTGCCCGAGGCGCCATAATCCCAGAGGGTGGCAGGGGTAAAGCAGCAGCGAGCAGAGCAGGGCAGGCCAAGGACAGACAGCAGCCTGCTGCTCCATGACAACTCCTGAGAAGGTGCTGTGCTGCAGGGGACCGTGCATGGCCTCACAAACAAGGCCTGGCCATCCCAAACCGATGGACGCAGCCACCACAAACAGAGCCATTAAACCCCCGCCAAGAGTTCATTCGCCTCTAAGCCACGTAGTGGCCTCTGCGTGACTCTGAGATGCACTCTAAGACATGGGCAGAATTTTTGCTGGTTTGCGGACGAGACTAAACTCTGGAATCAATGGCGTGGCTCCATGGGGTATCCTCTCCTCCTGAGCCAAGCCCGAACCATCGCAGTCACAGCAGCAGCGGGCACCAAGCACTTCCTCACCTGGGGAAGCCCGAGCTCGAACTCAGAAACAGCCCTGATGTTGTGCGCTCTCTCGTGCCATGACTGTGGCCCTCAGCCTGGGCACCTTGTGCAATGAGGTGCACCGTGGCGAGCAGAGCAGGAGCGTGGCGACCAAACCCCAGGCCCACCTGCACAGCAGCCTGTCACTCTGCAGGAGGGCCCGGCTCTCAGGTCGGGCCAGTGCAGCCGCAGCGTCTCCTTCCCCCATCCAACTCCTCAGCGACAACTCCAGAGCCCAAGGCCCCCAGAAAGCTCTAGGGTTGCAAGCACTGAGGACAGAGGTGCTTTGCAGTGACTCCCGTCAGAGGACCACACGACACATCAGCCACTCACAGCAAGCCCTGTCCCCGCTGCAGGGCACACAGCACAAACCCCCAGCACACGCTGAAATTCCCGTTTGCCTGTGTGTCACATCCCACTGAAGTCAGTGACAACCAAGGTCCTCTCCATCTGCTCAGAACAACTCATCCCAGCGACAGCAAGGCTGCCTGGGCCTGTGCATGTTCCAAGTCCTCTCCATCAGGCCCCAGGCCGCTGCAGGACACCATGCAGTCTGCTCGGGACTGCACTGACGGCCACTTGGAATCAGGCAGCACCTTGTTGAAGGTCACGCTCCTGCCCCTGCTGAGGAAAATCACAAGACTTCAAGCTGCTTGAATTAAAGTCTCCATTTATTTTATTTTTTTTTTTTTTTTTACAAAACTCCAACGTAAGACCATTGTGCTCGTGGTCGGAGAAGGGTGGGGTGATAGACGTGGCATGACAGCAGAGAAGCCCCTTACAACAGCGTCTCAGGCCAGGCGGCTGAGGGAATGATGCTTCCCACCCCCACCCTCCTTCCTGGGCACAGGACCCACACTCAGGACCCCTGATGAGGCGCGGCACACACAGGACAGACAAGCTCAGGAGAACAAAAGCCCAGCAGAGCCTGGAGAGCACCCTGGGTGGCTGCCCCGAGGTGACAAATTGTGACCCATGGACAGCCAAGGGGACTGGGGCCAGGAGAGCCACTCTCCTGGGTTGGAAGTCCCTGCTGGGTGTCCTCTGATGAGGAACATTAGAGGCAAGGCCCCAGGGTGCCCCATCCCACCTGGCAAGAGGGCGGCTGTCAATCCCAGAAGCACCTGCCAGCCACACATGGTGTCCACTGTGCCGAGGCCAGTCTTTAAGGACATGGTCAGTGTCCACTACGGCCTGCATCTGGTCCTTCGAGCTAGTGTCCTGGCAGGTCCAGACCATGCCATCTGTGTCCGTCGCTCTGACGTCACTGCCGCCCTGCAGCCCATGATGATGGCATCTATGAGTGACAGAGACTCAGGAACTGAGGACCTGGCCCCACAGAAGGGCTCCGACCACACAGCCTGCTTCTCCTCACACAGACCCACTGCTGCAGTTTCCAAGTTCCTTGTGTTAAAAGAAACAAGACAAAATAGCAGCCACAGATACAGCTTAAAACACCACAGTCTTTGGCTTCCCTGAGGGAAGGAGGCTACTGCTAGAGTCAAGTCAAGAGTCGGGAAAGGACAGTTAGAAAGAAGGGGACAGGGAGCCTGGATATTCTGCTAGTCAGAGAGGTGTAGCTCCGGTTCCCCAGGGAGCAGCCCAGCGCTGCCTGCTGCCGAGCAAGATGCCTGGGCCCACCAGGCGGGGGGCAACCCAGGAAAGAATCCATTCAGATGAACAGGAGAGGTGTGCGGAGCACAGGATATCAGGGTCCAGGGAAGACAGGGCCGGCTTAAGGCATGTGCATGACCAGGACAGACCTGAGCTTTTGTTCCATTTCTGGAAAACTATTCTCAGCTCCACTTCAAGAAAGTGGGGCTCAGAAAAACAGAAGGACCAAATCTCTGACAAATGACACCCCTCCGTTTCGCCACACCACCATGAGCAAAATGAGCTTATTTCACTTTCAGCCCAGGAAACAGAAATTTAAACCAGTAGAAGAAAACGGCGATGTGGGTGCAAACACCTGGAAGCTCTTGGCAAGTCTCAGCCTCCCACCCATCCCGGCACTCGAACCTCGGGGCATCCTGCAGCCAGCCTAGCATTAGGGGTCCGAAGCCTCAGCAAACAGCGGAGGCCCAGACATGAAGGGAAGGTAAATTTCCCCAAGGCAGGTGCCTCGCTGTATGATTTCCCAGCCAGCCAGCCAGGCGGGACCCTGAAAGGACACACTCAGCCTGCAGAGCCCCAGGCCAATGTGATGACACAGCCTGCGGCTTCCATTCCCCCGGCCCGGGACTTAGGGATTTAGCTCAGTGGTGCCACCCCCTGCCTCGCGGATGCCAGAGCTGGTTCATACCAGGAAGCAGGCCCATTCCTCCTGCATTCCCTGCTTCTTCACTGTCCTTTCCCACACAAGGGTGAGAATGGAAATGGGATGAAGTCCTGGGACAGTGTGGTCTAATGGTAAAACCTCCAAACCCCCTGGCCCAGTGCAAGGCCGCTCACTGCTCACGAGGGTGCAGGTCCTCCCTGGGCCACTGGTGGGAGGAGGAACCAAACTACAGATGGACAACCTTAGGGAAGGCACAAACCCGCAGGGCCTGCCTTGTCATGGAACCCTAAGAGGCCAAGTCCGTCCCTTTCCTGCTTCTGGGCTCAGATGCCTGAAGAGCAGAAAAGCAGGAGATGAAAAGAAGCCAGCTCACACTGGCCAGGATCCACCCCACTAAAATACGGAACATGAAGAGCCTGGTGGGTCCCTCCCTTGGAGAAAGAGGCAGTAAGTTAAGTTCCAACTCCCCCTGCCGTGTGTGTGTGTGTGTGTGTGTGAGAGAGAGATATGTGTGCATATATATGTATATACACGCATATATGTATATATACACGCACTTATATATATAAATAGGCCTTGAATGGCAGATCTGAAACTTCCTTTTTAAATAATAATAGTTGTCACTGAATTTTAAAACCATGAACCAGCCATCCTGGGCTTATGAACTCGCAAGGGACTCTCCGGAGTCCCTGTGGTCCTGGTCCTCAGTGTATGCTATCAGTCAGTGCCCTGTGTGGAAGCCCCAGTCTGCTGACCAGGGTTCCGGGCCCAGTGTGGCCGACTTCAAGATAAAGGCAGCTATTTTTCCCCTCCACTCTTCCTGCTGCCTCTCCCAGCAGAGGTGTGGGCCACCCCACCCAGCAGATGTCCCGGGGCCCTTCAGTGCCTGGAACCTTGGACACCACCTCCCTCGCTCTGCCCGCCCTCTGCCAACAGCTTGCGACACCCTAGATGAACTTGAAGCACTTGGTCTTGTCGTGGGGCAGGCGCGTCTTGAACAGCACGGAGTCCACCCTGAACTGAGTATACAGCAGAGGCACGTAGCCATACACCTTGACAAAGAAGTTGATGCATTTGTGCCGCTCGTGGAAGTGGGAGTCATCGTGTGACAGGGCCTGAGGACACCCTGGGCATCGGAAAGTCCACCGTGAGGTCACCTGGGGAGAGGGAGACAGCACAGTGTCAATCACAGGACCAACACTGACAGCAACTTCGAGGTTCTGCCACCTCAGTGACCAGGTGAAGCCCTGGCCCACTGACTCTCCAAGAGTCACCATCCAACCCCTTAAGGACCTCAAGTCTTTACTACGACCAAGGCTTCCTTTCCAAATGGCCCATGCTTAACAGATATCAAAGCCTCAAAAAACACTTAGTGTTATTTGGCTCAGTAATTCTACCAATATTTATCTTGGTTGTACAGCAAGATGTCGGTACAAAGTGCATTTCATCGATGTTTTTAATAGCAAAATACTGGAAAACCCCACACACATGGGAACTTAACTAGTGGCTGCACTTACTTGCAAGTGATGATCAAACTGGACTTTCTGGGTGCTCACTGTGACCTGGCTTACGGTAGCCCAAACCTGCTCAGTAATTTAAAAATCTCAAGTTTCTAGACTTCCATTTTTGAGCAAATGCCTTATACAAGTACTTACATACCAGGCACTATTCTTAAAGCTTTGCATGCGTCAGCTGAGGAAATCTTTTTTTTTTAATGGACACAATGTACCCTCCCATTTGCCAATCTGGTGAAGCCTGTGGACTCATTACTATAGAAACATTACTTTAAGATATTGCAACAAATGTGATACAAAAGTATCTGTGATTTCTTGTGGTGACACATCAGTTATTCCACATGCCCTGAGGAACTCTCATCTATTTCATAACTGCAGGTCACAGGTGAGTAAAAATAAAGATACCTGTCTTTACGGGGGGTTCCAAACCCTCTGTGTCCCATCCATCGGCCTGGTAGTATCCACTCATCCCATGCCAGTCCTGTGAGGTAGGTGGTGTCCTCACCCACTTCACAGAGGAGCCTCTGAGGTTTGAGCCTGTCACGAACTGCCACAGCCCGATAGGAGAAATCTGTCTGTGCCCGTGCAGTCCCACAGGTCTCAGGCCCTCACCTTGATGGGGGGTTTCCGAGTGATGTGGGAGACAAGGAAGTTCATGGCGATGTCCTCACAGTTGATGTACTCGTCCACCATATCTCGGATGGCCTGGGGCATCACATAAGAATACAGGTAGGCATAATACTGTCGAAGGAAGAGAAGCAATCACATGCTTTGTTAAAGGACAGTTTTTAGCTTTCAGCAAAAACACGCATGGGTCTAGAACATATCGGGGGGGTAGTTTGGGTCACGGCGGTACTGGTGTTTAGAAAGCAGGGACCATGGCTGCCGAGCGTCTTGCAGCGCAGCTCTTCTGCAGTGAACAATTACCCTGCTAACTGCCGGAGTCACACTCTCTGAGAAACAACTTCACAGAGTCTTCTTGGTGTCTCAGCAAGGTAGAAATCGACATAAGATTTGTCAGACCAAGAGAAACACCGGTTCAGGTGAACAATATGCAGCCTCTGACAGTGGCAACAAGAGGTATGTGAGGAGGAAAGACCTCAGTCTCAGAACCACGGGGCATCTGATCCTTCACTGGCTGCCTCACTAATGGATTCTTGAGTCACTGATACGGTTTATTCCTGGATGTCCGCGCACAGCCTCATGCCCTCACAGCTGGGAGGTGGTTAGATCACAGGGTGTGATAGTCATCATAGACTGGTCAGTCCACTGATGAGTTTATAGCTAAATGTGCTATTACTGGGTTAGTGGGGGTGTGGCCCGGAAGGATCCATCCGGCCACCATGCTTGTATGAGCTGTGTCTCCTCTGCCAGATCCCTCTACTATGCTGCCCTGCCATGGAGCCAGCCAACTACCGACTGAGAGCTCTCCTGTGAGCCAAAACAAACTTTTTCCTCCTTTGACCTGAGCGTGTCCAGTACCACATCTCAGCGACAAGAAGGTGTGTCGGTCACTTCTCACCACTGCCACACACTACTCCCTTGCCCCAGCACCTTCATCTCTGCCAAGATGATTCAGTCTTCTCCAGCTCCCTGTTACATGTCCTCTTCTCAGCACAGCAGTGGCCATGTTAAAGCATGAAGCCAACTGAACACGCCATGCCCTTCTCCCCATCCTCCAAGGGCTTCCCATCTCTCCCAGAGGGACAGCCACGTCCTTCAAATTCCCCACTAAGCCAGGTGCGGTGGTGCCCAGCTGTAATCCCAGCTACTTGAGAGGCTGCATCAGAAGGACAGCAAACTCAAACCCAGCATGAGCAACCAGCAAAACCCTGTCTCAAAAGAGAAAAAAGGCCCACAAAGTGGTATGATGAAGCTGGCTCACACCTGCTAACAAATGCTAACCACTGACTTCAGGAATTTTGTGAACTGCTGTTAAACATAGCCATTATTAGGAAAGTAACTATGCAAGCTAAAAATTAGTGCAACAAATGCCCAAAAGTTAGCACTTCTTCGTGTCTACTGAATCTACGGCAGACACTGTATAATGGTGTGCAACCGCACATCTCTTCCCACCTCCACCGCCAGGGACTCATGCTGATAACCTGAAATCAACCAAAGCACCAAGATTTACACCACAGCAATCGGCAGGGACTACAAAATAAGGCAGAGGTCAACATCAAGGTGTTGCAAGAGGCTGGTGACAAGCAAATGAACAGGAAGGGACCCAGTTAAACTGACTTACATATTTCATTATCTAGAGTACTATAATCTTTATAGAGGAATAATAGCCATAAAACATTTTTGCAGCAGAGTAGTTTGCTGGTTAGCATGGAAAAAAGTACCTCAGATGCAATGATCTTAAAAGATGAATTATACTTTTTTAATAAAAAAGATTGAAGGTAATTCTAATTTGCTGACCCTTTAAATAGCCTGTGGCTATGATCAGTATGCTAATGAAACACATTTATTAATTAGACACTACAATGCCTTCAAGGAAAAGGTGATATTTTAACAATAAGAAGCAACTGCCATTCTAAAAGCCGATGGAGAAAGCGTCATGGAAACAAACATTTGGAGGTACACAGCCATTATTAAATGGTTTTGTTGCCAAAAATTGTTTACATTAATCTATAAAAATACATATCAGTATATTTTAAAAACAAAACCTTTTCTAGCCTCTTTTAAAATTTTTTTGGTGGGGCTGGAGCTCAAATCCAGGGCCTCAATACATACCCCACAACTCTACCATTCACCTGTAGTCCCCGCTCAAAGTTCTTTTAAATGAAGTTTCAATGGATTTAGAACCTACTCTAAAATACAAAAAGGCAACATCTTTCCATTAGTTTGTGAACATCTATAGTCCCAGCAACTCCAAAGGCTGAGGCTGGAAGACTGAACCTAGGAGTTAGGGACCAGTCTGGGCAACAAAGAGAGATGCAGTCTTAAACAAAAAAAAAATCTATGACTTTCCATAACACACAATATAAAATCAATATTTTCAAAATTAATAAAGCATATTCAATCAGACTGCTTTCTCTAAAACTGAACCAGGGAGAACACTTTGAAACTTCACTTCTCAACTCTTAAAAGGTTTCTGTAAGAAAAGCAGTGCACACATGTCGTTTATAAATAAATATACACATATATTAGGTATATGTTCAAAAAGCTTTATTAATAGGCACTTATGATTAAAAAGAAACCTGCACTGCTATAGGTTAGAGAAGATCAATGTAACTACCAGTAAGGCAAGGAAGCGAGGCAAATGAGTGACAGACACTTCAGACAAATGTGAATGAGGTTGGACATGCAGGGCAAATGAGCACACACGGCCGAGCCAGGTAGCTGAGCCCCACACCTCCAGCCAGGAGCTGCCAAGCCCCACGAGGGCCTCATCTTCATTTTCATTGCACTTCAGATTCTTTGTAAAATCCTGATATTTTTTAAAGTTGGCGATGTCTAAGACAACAAAACACTTCTGTGAGCCAAGTGTGAGCCAAGGGCTTAGTTTGTAACCTCTGCTCCAGATATTCAAATAGGAAATATATGAAGCTTCATTAAGTAAATTATTTCTCTAAAACCAAAGGATCTGACCATTAACTTTCAAAGAGCAAACAGTTTGAACAGGGAGACCTCTCAGCAGACAAGTAAACTGTCAAGGTAGGAGCACTCTAAGAGAGGCCCTGGCTCCTAAGGGGAGCAACTGTGAAAATGAGTGGCTTCTCAAATAGCCCTGGTTTCCCAGGCACCCATCCTCCGACTCCTGCCCTTCTTCCCCAGCCTTGCCATGGCCTGCCAAGTTGGGAAAGGAATGAGATGTGTACAGCAGCTTCATGCACTCAGTTTTAAAAAGAAAAACAAGCTGAAAGTTTCAAGACCTCTTAGTCTAGTTCAGAATATCCCTAAATAAGATGACTTTAAGGTTTAATCCATGACGGGCCCATGCTGAGGCAGAACATGGCAGCAGGAGCCTAGGGCAGAGGAGGCTGCTCCCCTGATAGTGGCAGGAAGAAACAGAGAAAGGGGGCCAGGTCAACACCCCTCAAGGGCACACTCGAGTGACCGACTTCCTCCAGTGAGGTCCACCACCCTCCAAGTGTGCTGCCATCTGGGGGAGCTTTGGGGAGCTTCAAGACCCAAAACACAACACCAGCTTCAGTCTTCTGATGCTGGGCCATGTCTGGGATGGCAGTGCTGAAACAGAAGGCACCTGACAGGTCTTCTGGCCGTGCCCTCAGTTTGACAGAGGGAGAGCCAAGGCCAGGAAAGAGAAGCCAATGTGTCCCCCTCCTGTGTGCACCTCTACAGGCAGCCTTCCTCCAGACTTTTTTATTGCAGAGTTGCTCTAAGCATCTTGAGTAGTGTCTCTAAAAACAGGAATCACTTCTAGCAATAAGAGCCACAAAAAGAGCAGGAGGGAAATGCTCGCTTTGGCAGCACATATAGGAGAAGGAGGGAGGCTGATGCCTAGGGCAGCAGTTCAGTACCAGGCAAAAACTCGCCTCTTCACCTCTTCCTAAGTGGTAACGCTGCGAGCTCTCTCTTACCTTGTGAAAGAAGGCAGCGCCCGTCAGCACCATGGAGAGCTCACAAGAGTAGTTGGAGTTGTAGAGCCAGGACTGGTGAGGGATGTCCCACGCATGGTACCGGCCAGGGAAGCCCACAATGCGGTCCCGTGCTTCTCTCCACACCCTCAAAAACACAAGTGCACACACCTGAGTACACAGCTCTCAGGCTACCAGGACACTGAGAATGACTGTCTGTATCTTGCAGGCTCTCTGGCCAGTGGGCTTTTCTTTTCCTTGTTTTTTTTAAATCACAAGCCAAATAGGATAAAAACCAATAAACAGCTTCACAGAAAGCTTCCTTATTAAGTATCTGTTCATTACCCCTCATTTCTGTCAGCTATTAGCTCTCCAGTCTGAAAGAACAGGCTAAGATAAGATGGGAAGGAGTTTCCAGAATACAGTTAGGTATAACAATCTGGCAAATGCAGGAAGAAGGCATCAGTTTCTATTTCTATCGTTTTGTTGGGGTTTTTTTTGTTGTTGTTGTTTTTGTTTTGTTTTGTTTTTTTGAGATGGAGTCTCAAATTCAGGTTCGGCGGCTTGAACTCACTATGTAACCCAGGTTGGCTTTGAACTCACAACAATCCTCCTGCTTCAGCCAAGTGCTGGGATTACAGGTGTGCGCCACCAAGCCTGACTCTAGTTTAATTTCTTAAAGATTTATTTTAAGGAGCAAGATCTGTCAGTTCAGTGGGACATGTATGCACATATGCAATCTCTGGATAGTGCATACTTAATTATTCTTTCAATAGGGGGGCACACAATGAGAAATGTTTAGAGACCTCTGGTCTGGCCCCTGCATACGGCTGCCTGCAGGAAGAGCACTGGTCCAAAGTCCTAAATTGTGCAGGGGTGAGGAAGAAACCCGCCTCCTGAGAGCACTCTACAGAAACACACGCTGCAGGGCTCTAAATGCAGGGAACAAACTGAGAATTTGGTATGTTTCAGAAGGAACTCATCATTTCCAAATTACAGATAAGGTAAAACAAAATCAGTCCAGTTCCTCAGGCTGCAACTGGAAGTTGAAAGCTCCACAGATCCCAGGAAGCCCCGAAGGGTGCCAGGAGACTGGAGCTGCACGAGAAGCCCTTGCCACTTACAGGGAACTTCAATTCCTACGATGTGAAGGACTTAATTTCAAAGCAGTTCCTTTCCTAGGAAGCCTGAAAGTAACTATCTAGTGTAACATGACAAATCACAACTTCGGGCACAGTGTAACAGCTTTGTGTGGGCTTTTGTTAGACAGCTGACTTTTTATGTGGCAAATATGCACACAGCAAGTACCATTTTAACCCTTTTTAAGGGTGCACAGTTCAGTGACATTAAAGATAGCGGCGCTGTCTGCAACCATCAGCACCACCCATCTAGAACCTTTCCACCTTCCCAAACTGAAGCTGTTCCTGCCAACAGTGTCGCCCCAGCCCACTCCCCACTCTGCTTCCTGTCTCTCTCGAGCTGCCGCTTGGGGCCTCGTGTAAGTGAAATCACAGCATTTAGCCTTCTGGGCTGCAACAAGCGCTGCTGCTATGATCACTCGCGTGCCCCTTGCATGTGGACGCGTCTCCATTCTCTCAAGCATCTGCTCTTTCCCGACTACCTGGGTAGAAGTTAGTCTGCATTTTGCCAGAGCAAATAATTCTTACGCTCAACTTTTCTCTTTTTGAACCTAGGTCTATTTCACTCTCATTCAAGTGAAATGAGCAAATTGGGGAAATGAATAAAAACAAAGCTGTTAGACCAAAGGGTATCCAAACAGATGAGAAGAGAGTAGCAGCGGGGAAAGGACAGGCTGTACAGCCAGAGACAATTCACCAGTTCTACTGACCAAGGCTAACCTGCAACTCCAAATGATTAAGAGACACAGTAAAAGGCACCCCGGCCAGGCATGGTGACACAAACCTGTAATCCCAGCACCTGGGAGGCTGAGGCAGGAGAGTTGCTGCAAGTTTTGAGGGCAGCTGAGTTCAAGGACAACCTGAACTATATAGCAAGATCCTGTTTCAAAATAAATAAACAAACAAACAAATAAATAAATAATAAAAAACCAAAAAGGCAACCATTATTTTCTCACCACCTGGAAATCTTTTGAATAAAGGCAGAGAAAAGGTCATGTCTTCTAAATCAGGAGCCACAGAAGACAGGGTATGCCAGTATACTAATAAAATTCACACTCATCAAAGCAGGGACTCCTCTGAATCATCCTTGGGATCCAGAGGTGAGGGCAACACCCCGTCAACACCCACAGCTCTGTGCACAGCTCCCTGAGCCTCCACAGACACTGAGTCGTGCCACACCAAAAACTCCCTTCCTTACCATCAGTAACAACATCTGCAACAGCAAAGACCATTTCTAGAGCTGTTTCATCACCTGCCCTTTATAACAACAGGGAGAGCGCGCCAGCTATTTATTATCAGGTACCAAGGAATACACCCCACCTTAGCCAGATTATTACTTTTTTTTAAAATCACAGCTAGCAACAGAAACTGCTTTAAAATGTACTAGGAGGCCAAAGGAAATGTGGGAAGTTGGTGGGAGGAGAGAAAGAACAGATGTTTGAATGTGTCAGAAATGTGTCAAACTGTACAGATGGATTTAAGGTAGATTCAGCTGTAAATTCGCTGTTCCTTTCATCTCTTTTCTTGTGTGCATCTCTACTTACAAACTTGAACCAAAAGAGCTAACAGCTGGACAGGTCGGGTTAGACATTCAGGACGAAACGGACGCATGCACAAGACCTTTACTTAAAGACGACCTCCAAAAACTCTTCTCCAGTGCTTCTCAAGCCAGGCATGGTGGCACACGCCTGTAATCCCAGCACTCGGAAGGCTGAGACAGGAAGAGCCTCAAAAGTTTCAGGCCAGCCTGGGCTACACAGTGAGTTTGAGGCCAGCCTGAACCGCATAGTGAGACCCTATCTCAAGATAAATAAATAAATAAATAAACTTTCTGTGGCTAACAAGTAATCTGTGGACTAATTCTTTTGAAAAACACTGAAAATGAACTGCATAGATTCTGGGGTAGGGGGGCAGGCAGGGTGCCACTTGTGCAGTCCAGGCTGGCCTTGAGCTCACTACGTAGCCCAAGCTGGCCTCTAACTTGCAGCAATCCTCCTGCCTCAGCCTCCCCAGGGCTGAGATTACAGGTGTGAGCCACTATGTCCAGCTTGCATGAATTCTTAAATATGATACCAAGAGCACAAAGAAAACAAACTGGACTTCATCAAAATTTAAGACTTTGTACTTCAAAAGGTATCACCAAGAAAAGTAAAAAGGCAGCCCACCAAATAAGAGAAATCATTTGCAGCTCATATCCCTGATAAGGGACTTGCATCTAAATATATAAAGAACTCTCACAACACAATAATTAAAAGACAAATCATCCAAACAAAATGGGTACGGACCTCAACAGACATCATCTCTCCAAAGACACACAAATGGCTGGCTGGTCCATTAGTACATGAAAAAGAAACTTGATATCCTTAGTCATGAGCAAATACACATCTAAAGGATAATGAGCACTTCACATCAACTAGGCACTGACAAAGATGTGGAGAGGAAACTGAAATAAGTAAAAACAACCCAAATGTCCACCAATGAGTGGGTGAACAAAGTATGGGGTGTCCATGTAAAAGGATGAAGCCCTGGTGCATGCTACAAGAAGGTACACCCTAGAAATATCATGCTAAGTGAAAGAAGCCCGTTATTACAGTCTCGGTGATAAGAAATGTCCAGAATAGGCATAAAATCTAGGCACACACACATTTAGCCTAGGACTTAGGCTGGAGGAAATGAGAATGAATACTCACAGGCACAGGATTTCTTTAGGTGATGATTAAATGCTTTACACTGGATTGTGCTGCTTACACTAGAAACCAATGAACTGTATAATTAAAGGAGTTAATTGTACGGTATACATAAAATTCCTATGGTAAAGGAATTTGTTCAATGAACACCACCAAAAGGTATGAATTATTAAAAAGGATCCTAAACTTGGAAGTCACACAAAATGTCCAAGCACTATACAAGTTACAGGCAGGTGTTGGTGGTACACACCTGTGATCGTGTGATCCCAGCACTCAAGAGGCTGAGGCAGGAGGATCGTTGAGTTTGAGGCCAGCCTGGCCTACACAGTGAGTTCAAGGTTGGCCTGAACGACACAGCAAAACTGTGTCTCAAGAAACAAACAAAAAGGTGCTTTACGAGCTTCTACATGTTTGCCCTCCCTTTCAGTACTCACCTCACCAAGGATACTTAACAGACTGACTCCAGCACCCCACAACAGTCCTGCCTTCTCCACACTGTCACCCACTGCACCCTCACTGGGATGCCCGAGCCCTAACCGCAACTAAATCCTGGGACGAAGGCAACAGCAGAGTACAGTGGCTGAGGAAGAATCCCAGCTCTGGCTGCCACTCACCTTCTAGCTTCATGGCTTCCCTCTGCAGTCCTACACCACGACAGGGGTGTGACCACAATCTGCTCCAAGTTCTTCAAGGACCCGTGAGAAAAAGCAAAGTGCTCAGCTAATCCTGCCACAGTCTGGGCTCAACAAGAGCGGAGCAGCAGCAGCAGTAGCAGCACCTTATCTCCCACCCCTTTTTCCTACTGGATCTTTTGTTTCCAAGCCCACCTCCTCACATCTCTGTGGGCCCAGGTTCTGGCCCTGTTCCATTGCTCTACACAGAGCAACAAGTTCCTTCTGCCTGCCCAGGAAGTCAGTTCCCATTCCTCTGATCACAGAGGCCTCCAACTTACTCTAGAAAACTCCAGCCCACAGGGTTTGCATTTGAGGGTGGTGATCCTGTAGCTCCAGCCAACCAAAGAGCCCATGGGATTGCAGAGTGGAGCCAGGCGAGCCCCATCCTATGTCAGCCCTTTCAGCTTCCAGCATCTCTCCACCACTATGACCAGCAAACCCCTCTGTCACCTCATCAGGCCAGAGTTCTGATTCTTGCAAGCTCAAGTGTTTCTGTATTGAGAATTGCCCTCACCGAAAGCCAAACATGATCTCGTCATGGCGGAGGTGGGCGTCGTCATCGATGGACAGGATGGCCTCTGTCTCAATCTCATTCCAGGGCAGGAAGCGATTGTTCAGACTGTTCTTCTCAGTCCGGACCACCTGCAGCGAGGGAGCAGAGGCACCGGCATCAGTGCTGAGGGAAGGCAAATCCGGAAGTGCCTGTAGTCAAGGACACCTGCAGTTATCCTCATCACCTACGACTCGTCCAGCCTAGTGCACGCCTTTCAAGAGTACTCCTACCTGACAATTCAAGAAATATAGGGTCAAGATTTCATAGTTTAAACTTTATTCACTAACTGATTTTCTTGTGGAAAAAAACAACTAATGTGAGCATTATTTTGCAATAAAAAACCCAGTCCAGAGAGACTAAAACTAACTTTCTCAAGAGAACACAAGGTGGCAGAGCGGAACTGAGATTCCAGGTCCCAGCTCTGGAATCATTCATCTGGCCCATGGATTTTAAAACCAAACTTAGAAACCCCTTCAGCTGGTATCCTTAAGGCCTTGGGGGGGTTAGGGGGGAGCACAGACTACCCTGTTGACACAACTACTTCACCTTTGTAATGCACAGCACTGACTACACATACAAAAGCACTTTTTTTTTTTTTTTTTTTTTTTTT